AGAGTGTGCTTCTTAGCTCAGGTAAACACAGGAGACTAAATGGGCAGCTCCTGTCCGGAGGTGAGATGAGAAGGCAGAGAGGCTCAGGAGCTGGTCGAATGGACACAAGAAATCCAGGGTAGAAAGGAGGAGTGAGCTGTCACAGTATAGGGAGAGCAATTAGGGTCACATAACAATGTATGTATAAATTTTTATATGAGAGACTAACTTGAATTATAAACTTTCACTTAAAGTACAACAATAAAATAAAAAAAAATTAAAAAGAAAAAAGATACACCCTGCACTAATCCTGTCTCATTAACTTAACAAAGACAACCCATTCCCAAATGGGATTATAACCACAGGTATAGAGGTTAGGATTTACAACACATATTTTGGGGGCACATTAATTCAATCCATAACAACTAGGAAGTGAAAGTTTGAGGGGGTAGTAGGATATTTACAAAGCCTTAACCTCCCCACAAGACATATATTAAGTACTGAGGGAAAAATGGAGTTCCTGGGTGGTGCAAACAGTTAACGTGATCGGTGGCTAACTGAAAGGTTGGAGGTTTGAGTCCACTCAAAGGAGTCTCAGAAGAAAGACCAGGCAATCCACTTTTAAAAAATTGGTCATTAAAAACCCTATGGAGCACAATTCTATTCTGTAACACTGGGTTGCCATGAGTCAGAGTCAACTTCATGCCAACTGGTAAGGGAAAAATACTAACTTTCCAATGGAGAAATCTGGAACATACTTTAACCAAGTGATCAAAATTAAGATCATGAATAATGGGACAAACTGACATCACATGTCCCATGATATAATGGTATTCCTGCAGAAAATGTATAATCCAAATCTAGTTATGAGGAGACATTTTAAAAAAAAAACCTCGTTGCCGCCAAGTTGATTCCGACTCATAGTGACTCTATAGGACAGAGTAGAACTTCCCCATAGGGCTTCCAAGGAGTGGCTGGTAGATTACAACTGTCAACCTTTTGGTTAGCAGATGAACTCTTAACCACTACGCCACCAGGGTTTCCTGAGGAAACATTAGTCAAACAAAAATTGAAGGACAAAATAACACATCTACACTTTTAAACGCAAACTAATCTATGGTGACAGAAAGCAAATCAGTGGTTGACTGGGGAAGAAAGGTGCAGGGAGGGGACAGGGATTACAAAGGAGCACAAAGAAACTTTTGGGATTGATACCTTTTGATTGTGGCAGTGGTTATATGGTGTATACGTATGTCAAATTCATCAAATTGTACACTTTAATTACGTGCACTTCAGGGTGTATCAAGTATACCTCAATAAAGCTGTTTTCAAATTTTGAGGAACTATTCCAGATTAGGAGACCTGGTGGCGCACTGGTTAAGAGCGTGACTGCTAACCAAAAGATCGGCAGTTTGAATACACCAGGTGCTCCTTGGAAATCCTATGGGGCAGTTCTACTCTGTCCTATAGGGTTGCTATCTGTCATAGATTGAATTGTGTCCTCCAAAAATGTCTGTCAACTTGGCTAGGTCATGACTCCCAGTATTGTGTGATTGTCTACCATTTTGTTATTTGATGTGATTTCCCTGTGTGTTGCAAATTCTATCACTGTGATGTAATAAAATGGAGTAGCAGCAGTTATATTGATGAGGTCTACAAGATGAGATAGTCTTAAGCCAATCTCCTCTGAGATATAAAAGACAGAAGCAAGCAGAGAGATAGGGGGACCTCATACCACCAACAAAGGAGTGCCCAGGGCAGAGTGCATCCTTTGGACCTGAGGTTCCTGTGCTGAGATGCTCCCAGAACAAGGGAAGACTGATGCAAGGACCTTCTTCCAGAGCCGACAGAGAGAGAAATAGCCTTCCCCTGGAGCTGGCACCCTGAATGTGGACTTCTAGCCTACTGGACTGTGAGAATAAACTTTGCTTTGTTAAAACCAACCACTTGTGGTATTTCTGTTATAGCAGCACTAGATGACAGAATCGACTCGACGGCAATGGGTTTTTGGTATTCCAGATTAACAGGCTAAAAGGACTTTTGTAACAGGACAATTGGTGAAATATGAATAAGGTCTGTGGATTAGATAATAATATTGACTCAATGTCAATTTCCTGGTTTTAATAATAGTATAAGAGAATATTCTCGTTTTTAGGAAATATCTACTCTAGTATATAGGGTAAAGGATTGTCATGTCTGTAAAACTTACTTTCATATGTTCAGAAAAAAAAAACAGATAGAGAGGGAAAGAGAGTGATAAAGTAATGAAGTAATATGATGAAATGTTATCGCTCGGGCAATGTGGATGAAAGTATACAGGAATACTCTGTACTACACTTGTAACCTCTCTGTAAGTCTGAAATATGTCAAAATAAAAGCTTTTTTTTAACTAAAGAATGCAGTATTTAGGATATTATGACTAACATCCAAGACGTTCGTTCATCCACCAACAAATATTGGTTTTTCCTACACAGATGAAACTTGACAATAGGGGCCACACTTGCTTGCCAGAGCTACAAATAGAAACTACGGGCCAATATCTAAATTTATAAACCTGATTATTTGAATTACAAATAAGTTTTTCATTTAACTAACAAATATTCACTGAGCACCTATCACTGTGCCAAGCCTGACTAGACACCAAAGAAACAAAGTCACCTAGTGTGGGATCTGGAGAACACACGCATATATAGTTATGATACAGCAAGGAGTGAGTGAATGAATGACTGGAGTTTTGTCAGCTAGGGAAAGGAAGAATGGTGTAACATCAGCATGGACACTGAAGCAGGAACTTAAGGAAATGTTCATAGCCAACACAGCTAAAACCTTAAGTATAGTAAAACTCAGAAGAGAAGGCAAAAAGGCAGAGAAGGTCAGTAGGGTCAAGCTCTGGAAGGTCTTGAATTCTATGCTAATGAATCTAGGCTTCATCTGTAATTGGAAGACACTGGCAATTTTGCTTTATTTTCTTTTATTTGTTTTATTTTGAGTGAGATATATCATACATACAGAAGAGCACTACATGAATTTAGTTAGGGGAATGGCAGAACCAGATCAGGGTTTCAGAGAGAAAACTTGAACTGTGCAAAGGAGAGTTTGTTGTTCAACCTCCTGACTTCCCCGCTGGCTGGTAGACTCATGACTCCATCCCCAGTGCGTAGCCCAGAGTAGAAATGCAATAAATACTTGTTGCCAACAAATAGGATACAGAAATTGTCCCAGTAAGAGATAAAGGCCTCAATTATAGCTGTGGCCAGGAAAATGGAGAGGTAGGAAACCTCTGATCTTGTAAAACAAAAGAATCTAGAGGGGTGAAAGTTAAACGGAGGCATCAGAGAGGACTCTGAATTTTCTTCCTGGGTGGTCATTTAGATGGTAAGCCATTGAACCAAACATTTATAGTGAGTGAAGAATGTAACCAATGTCACTGAATTATACCCACAGAAATTATTGAACTGGTATATTTTTGTTGTGTATATTTTCACTCCCCACCCCCTTCCCCTCAAAAAAAAGCAAGAGGAGGAGCAAGTCCGGGGAAGTAGAGAACAAATTGGTTCCTATCTATGAGAGACAGGTAGTCCCTAGGTGGGGCAAACTGGTTAACACTCTGCTACTAACCAAAAGGTTAGAGATTCGAGTCTACCGAAACCTTGGAAGAAAAGCCTGTCGATCTACTTCTGAAAAATCAGCCATTGAAAACCCTATGGATCACAGTTCTACTCTGACACACATTCAGTCACTTTGAGTTGGAGTCATCTCGACTCCAATGGTTTTTTAAAATCATTTAGTAACAACCACATTTTGATCTACTGCCACATGTGTGAAATGACTTGAGTAAAGGAAAATTATGCATTGCAGTGAGGTTTGTAGTAACAAATACTTTAGAAACAACTTAAATGCCCATTATTACATGACTGGTAAAATGCCTGGTCTCTTGTTTGCAATGACTCAATCAAATGGGAAGTCAGAGCATTTTTGGACAGATAATTCAACTCAAGAATGAAATAAGAAATGGTGACTGAATTAAAGTTCACAATACTTTTTAGTCCATCTATTTTACTATACCTGTATTTGTGATAGACACAGAAGAAATACAACTGTGAGTTATCTTAAAATCATAAAACATCATATTTGACTGATGTCTTAAAAGTGTAAAAAGCAAGAGTCTGGGTTTTAACCAAGCTCCTTAGAATACTTTAAATAAATTCTAGGCTGATCGATATTTTTACTACTTTAAGCTTATAAGTTGTATTAATAAAAGCTAATTGTATTTCACTGAGGAGTTTACAAACCATATTTACCTTCTGATTACCATTGGAAACCCTGGTGGTGTAGTGGTTAAGAGCTATGGTTGCTAACCAAAACGTCAGCAATTCGAATCCACCAGGCACTCTTTGGAAACTCTATGGGATAGTTCTACTCTGTCATATAGGGTCGCTATGAGTCGGAATTGACTCGATAGCAACGGGTTTTGGATTGCCATTTAATTCCAACAACCCTGTGAGATATGTAGAGCAGGTGGAAATTTGCCTGCCAAAATGCAAGGCAAAAGCTGTATTATTGTTATATCTCCAGTGCAAAATTTCAAGCTTATGGGTTCAGACAGTTTTATTCTTTCAAAAGGAAAGAAGTTTAATTCCTCTGGTTTCTCAGGCTGCTAGGGAGTTAATGAATTCGTTTCACTCTTAATTTTTAAATCTATAACTTCCAAAAAGAGACACACAGCTAGCCAAAATGCGGCATAGTACAAATCTTTGCAAAACCACTTTTCATACAATTTCCCTATGTCTCCATCAAATACTGCAATGGAAAAACTGTATGTTCTAGTTTTCTAGGACAAATTCTAAAAATATGCTAATGTATCACTGCACAAGACATATTTCAAGTAGGCTCATCAGTTCTTATCGATAACATAAAGCAACTGTTTACCAAGGCAAAAAGGATGAAATATTGAAGCAAAATGCCTCTGCACAGGCTACTAAATCAAATCTTGTGTCCTAGCCCCTTGGCTATTTGCTTACCTCCAAAGGAATAACAACGGATGGTTTCTTTTTTAGTTCCTCACATTTCCTCTTCTTACAGATTTGATGGCTGTTCTTTCTATTCTTACAGTAAGTACATTCACCACAGTTGGTCTTCTGTTGGCAAGGCTCGCAGACTCCACATCGCTTTCGTTTCTTCTTTTCCAAAGTAGGTAGCAAAGTTGTGTAGGAAGAAGAGGTACTGGCAAGTGACACTGACGTAGATACCAGTGTGGGGTTGACTACATTAACCGTGCTGGTCATGTGGACCTGGGAATTCCCTCCTATGGATTTGCTGGGACCGGGCTGGGAGAGTGGAACAACACTCAGCGAAGCCTGGTATAGTTCTTTCTCAGGCACTAATGTGAACCTCTGAGGGTAAACTGGCAGAAAGCTGATATGAACTTGCTTCTCATTTTCTTTATGGCTTATAGCCATTGCTGGAGGTACTGAACTTTTCTCTGAGTTTGATGATAATTGAGGAGCGTGACCTGAGTAGCCGAAAGGCAAAATCTGTATAGCACCCTGGGCCTCAAGCCCAGATGAGACAGTGCTCTGGGGCTCAGGCCATTCTCGGGGAACATGATAAGTGATGACTGGGTCTGGAGGAGCAGCAAAGAAAATAGGTGGGTCTGGGACAGCACCACCACTCACACCAAGGGTTTCTTGTCGGTCTACGATGGCACCAAAGACCTCTCCTCGGACTGGAATAGCACCAGAAACCTCTGGTAGGCTTGATGTCTCACCTAGGGCCTCTCTACGAACTGGGTTAGCACCAGGAACTTCCCATTGAGGTGGGGTAGCACTGAAGGCCTCTCCTAGGACTCTGCTGGTATCAGGAATTTTTTGTTGATTTGGGGTAGCACCAGAAACTTCCTGTTGATCTAGGGTAGCTTTGAGGGCCCCTTGATGATCTGAGTTAGCACCAAGGGTTTCTTGTTCTGAGCCTGCCAAGAGTAGTTTTATTAAAGAGGTAGGATATACAGACCCACCAATAGACAAACAGTTTCTAAGGTCCAATTCAGGTACAACCTTATTAAAGCTGGAGGTGGGATAACAATCATGTTCATTTTTGATGGGATCCAAGTGAGAATCAGATAGCTTAAGAGATTCTACTCGTGAACCCAAATCTTCTAACTGAACACTGGGGCTTCTTTCAGAGGTAACCTTGGATATTGCTCTTTGGGGCAAAGGAGCACACTCAGTGTCCTGAGCAAACATTCTAGTGTAATCCTTGATATCATTTAATATCTTTTCAGAGAATAGCCCTTCACCATGTGTCCCTTCCAATGACTTAGAATGGATCTCTGCTGCAGGGCCACTGTGATTGGGGATATTTATTTTGGCATCTTCAACCCTTTGGGACCAAGACTGGGCTGTCTTTTGGCTCTCACCTTTAATTAAAGATGAATTTTGTACAACAATTAGATTTTCTATGTCAGGAGGGATTGGGGGGTCTTGCATTGGGTCTGATTGATTTTCTGAGTGCCTTACTCCCACATCAGTGAGCGCCTTATACTCACACTCATGTTGCTTTTCTAAATTCTTACAAGGTGGAACTTTCTTAGGTTTGGCTATGACCACCGGGGGCTGGGAGAGTCGCCTGCTAAGAGAGGTGCTTCTGAGAGCCATTGTAAACCCATTGCAAGTTAAGGACTCCGGGTTCTGGAAAAGAACCTCAGTCCTTTCCAAATTCATTCGTGCCGCTCCAGCTCTTGTCAGAAGGCTTCTGACTGGCATGGGTGGTTTGGGTTCTGTTTTTTTCTTAACATCTCTTTCTTGAATTAGTTGCTTTAATTTTCCAGGGCTCACAGTCTTGACCGATGTCACATTTTTCTTGGTTGGCTTGGAGGTCTTCTTCAGTTGGCTGCTTTTCTTTTTGCTTAGATCGTCCCTCCTGACTAATCTGGAAGGCCTTGCATGGCGGGATCGAGACATAGCTACAGAGTAGGAAAAAGTGAAAGACCACGGGACACAGAGTCATTGGTCCTTTGGAAAGTCTCGCTTCTGAGGAGAATCTGGATGTTCCACAGTTGAGCTTAGTCACAACAAGGTTTTGGTCTGAAATAACAATAACAAAAAAACATTTAGTCTTTTTGTTATTCATTCTCTATTTGAAATAAAATATTTACTGGAAATTATTCATTAAAATTAGGGAACTGAGAATGTTTAATGCAAAAGAAAGAGATAGTAGAAACAAAAACACTAAAATATCCTTTGAACCTTGGATTCACTACAAGGCTCCTTTAATTACTGTGACAGCTGATTTATTTGATGAAGTTCTTTGACTAAGGTAAGCATGGGGGTTTCTCTACATTAGAAACCACAACTTGACTATAGTTATATGTAGCTTAAAGCTTAAATCCCAATCTTTCAAATTTGGACACTTTAATAATTATCTCTTAATCTCTTTCCTTAGCATATCACCCTACAGGCAAAGGCATCATCTGCCCAATAGTAAAGCTGGCCAAGGTGGAGGAAGAAGAGGCTTATATAATCAAGAAGTCGATTATATAAGAAATTCTACTCCCTAGAGATCCACTAGTAATACAACATTCCAATTAACCTTCCACAAATCTTGGGCTTTTTATGCACACACAAAATAGTGTAAAATCTGAGGATTAGGTTTGACAGATTAGCACTGACAGATTAGGTTACAAATAAGACTCACTGCTCCAACAAATATCTGTTGAGTACCTACTATGTGTAAGGAAGGCTTTGTGGTTGGCACTGCCCACGCCCAGAAATGATGTCCCTCTTTTCTCTTTCACCCAACTTAATCCAAAGACTACTGGTTCTAAAATCCCTTCTACCATGGGTCCCAAAAGTCTCATGATAAATGCCTAAGCAAAGAAATTGGAAATAAGGAGAAAATGAGATAATTAGAACAGTAAGTTATACTAGGCAAGCAACTATTATTTGAGAGATAAGCAAGAGAAGAGGAGAAAATGAAGGGGATTGACCAAGAGCCATCACCAATCGCCTTTGCATCTCTTCAGAATGCCTACCCTAACCCAAAATAAGATCAAGCTGTGAGCAAGAATGCAGTTTGATGAAAATACAATCTAAAGTCCATCCTAGTCATTTATCAACAGTCTCTCTAAAAAGCACAGAATCAAGAGCATGACAACAGGTTTGCTGAGGATTCTTTAACAGCAGAGTGTTGAATATGCAAGAAAGCATGGTATAGGGAAATGGTTACGAAAAACTTGTCTGTGACCAAATTTTCAACAGTCTATGGCAAAATGAGAAGAAAATAGGGCAATGTGAAGAGTTTTTCATAAAGCTGAATTTATTCATTTTAATGTTCTTTTATTCTAAAATTATGTCTTCCTGTTTTCTATCATTAAAATACCCTTTCTTTAAAAGTAATAAAATGTTCTTTCTTTTGTGAAAGGGCTTATTTTTTATTACTTGGCAAAATAAAAAGTCAACAACCCTTTAACATCCTTAAATTTTGTTTTTGTTTTTCTGATCCAGGTAATCTTGGTTTAATGGCCAGAGATGGCCTAGAATCAAAAAGCCTTGAGTTGAATGTGAGATTACCAGCTACATGGCCTTAAGCAAACTACTGAACTTCACTGAGTCAGCACCTTCTTTATCTGGAATGAGGCTGGTCTGAGGTTTCAATGGACTCCTGCAAGGTAAGCCTAGTACCACTGATTTCATTCTTAAGGTATTTGAGTTCAAGCTGGGTGTGGTAAGAAGATGGACTTTGGAAGTAGGCAGACCTGGGTTCAGTTTGTAGCTCAGAAACTGTGTGATTCTGACAAGTTCCTTGGTCTCTCTATACCTCAGTTTCCTTCTGTGTAACTGAATAGAAAACACAATAGTACTGGCTTAGTTGGGTTACCATGAATATAAAATGAGATGATGCATGTAAAGACTTAGCACCATGCTCGCACGTAGTAGTGTTTAATAAATAGCTTTTTAGGCCATTTACAACTCCAGAATACAGAAATAATAATAAAATCAATGCTAGTTATCATTATTATGGAAGAAGTTTAACCCACAATTTGCCATATTCCATAAAGCAAGATCTAAATTTCTGTTCCCACCTAATACACTGTAGATCTCACACTAAATAAGGGAACGCAGAGTACAACATTTAGAGTCAAAGCACTGTGCCTTTTAAAAAAGATTTTTTAAACAGACATTAGTGATAATACTAACCACAAGAAAAATAATACTAAACACAAACACCAGGCCAGAGAATACTTGACTTGAATTCTTGGCATCTAAGCTTTCTGCTTTTTCCTTTCTCTTTAAAAAAAAAAAAAGTTTTGGCTTGCGGTAACTCTTTAGCTGTGAAGAATTATAGGATATTTTTTCTAAAAACCACTGCTTTTTGTACTAGCATTTTTAGAAAACATAAGACATTGCAATTCCAATCCCCAGAAATTCAATATTATCTTTATAGGAATGCCATTTCAGATAACGAAAAGCAATCCTTCCCAATCTCTAGAAATTCAACAATATTGACATAAGCATGCTCTGTCTCTTGTATCAAAATCGTATTGCTAAAAAAAATTATAGAAGCATATAATCTAGATATTCCAATCAACCACAAAAAGTTAAAATTCACATTAATGAATTTCAGCAAGTAATCTGGGTATACCACAGGGTGTCATGGGATCTGCTTTTTCAAGTAGTTTATAAACTCATCTCTGCCTCTTATATTCTTTTATATTGAGCACAGAATTGAAGTGTTTTAGAAATTCACGTCTGCAATTAAGATAATGTTTACCATTTAAAACTTATCTCCCAGAAAAGAGCCTACTAAGGAAATGGGAAATGTATGAGCAACATGGATTGGGAAGATGTGGCCTCTTTAAATGATAACAACTTTTTATGAGATTGTGAAAGAGGCCAATAACCCCTAAAAACCCAACTGCAGGGGAGAAACCACTGGGTACCACCCAGCCAAAGAAGCAGGGACAATCAGAAACAAAACAAGACCCTAATTTTATCACCTTTGGCTCCAATGATGAAAGGTAACTTTCTTTTGTGGTAAATTAAGTTGTCTTGAGAGCTGAACTCTGGGAGCAGAGCAGCAAACTTCTTGAAATTTGTAGGGGTTGAGGGGAAAAGAACGATGTAGCCCCTTCTATTAAATAGGTCTACATTTAATTATAAAATTACCCCCAAAAGATCTTACTGAAATTAATTTTCCTTTTTAATTGGTAAACATTATTACGTGTCCCGCTTCCATTTTTTAATGCTTTTATTTATTATAAAGTATTAAAGGTATACAAAAAGGTATACTCAGATCCTACCATTCAGGTGAAGAACTAAAATATTTCAACACAGTTACATCTCCCTTGTGTACACTTTCCGAATTCCACTTCCACTTTCATTTTTGATGAAAATTGATATTTCTATATTTCTCAAAATTAGCTTTATTCGATCCTAGAATATCTTCCAGAGTCGGAGTGTTCCAGGGATAGCCACAGGATAACACAGTCAGAGCAGAAAATAAAAGACTAGTATCCCTGATATTAAATGTACATAGCGAGTTCAGGAGAAAGAACCGTGTACATTTAATTGACACTATCCCATGAGTTCTTAAAACAAAAAATTGTGGGATGCAAAACACGACTCATTTAACAGATCTTTTCACCAGAGGGCACCAAGACCCCTAACCCACCATACAGTTTTCCTAAAATCTCTTTGTGACATTGAGGACTGGAGTGTAGGAGATCTAAAATATTCTAGATAAGAGGCCCACTCGTCATTTTGAGACAGGACGACATGCTGCTAATGCAAACGAGCGAATAAAGGGTTAAGGTCGGCGTGAAGAAGTGGCACGAGGAGGCCCCGGGTGTAAGGTTCTGCGGATTCTTCACACACACAATTTTAAAATTCCATTGCCAAAATCGTACCTAACCAAACTAATCAACAAATACAATCAGAATTTGTGCCTTATTAACATTTGAGCTTACTAGGCGATGAAAGTGTTTCCCTTGGGGGAATTTTTATTTTCTACAGTTATTAAATAAAATAACCACCTTGCCTAGAAAACGAAAAGCTAACTTCCTAAACTGTATCAGTTGTCTATAAAAGACAACATTGACAGCACCGTGTCAGAAATCCCCTCCCACCTACCTCCAGCCTTCAGAATCTCCCAAAGTCCCCTGGGCAGGAAGTGGCTGAACTGATGTAACCATCCAGCCCACATGTCAATTTAAAATTATATTGCAATCCTTCCCACTACTAGCGTGGCCAAAAAAGTGGTGAGTTATTTGCATAGATAGAGCTAGTTACAAAAAAGAAACGACGATTTCATAGTCAACCTCCCTCAGCTCCTTAGAATGTAAAGGCTACAACACTTGACCGAGAAAAACAAGAATTAAAACATTTCTTTTTTGAAAAGGCACCACCTGGCTGAGTTTCCTCCAGCAACTAAGTTCTACATGGAAAGGAAGAGGAAGCAGGCGGACTGCTTGCTGTTCCTAGATAGTTTTCTACCACAGGAAGTGTGAGAGCCCTCAACACGTGGAAAGGCTGTTGAGGAAAACGCACTAGAATGCCAGCAGATTTAGTCAAAGGCTCCTTCCATATGTAAAACATCCTTGCAGTCCTGCAGAGAGCAAGAGGGGAAAAAGGCCAAAGGGGGCCAAGAGGAGAGAGAAGTTAAAATGGAGATAGAATGACTCCTGCAAAATACAAGGAAGGCATGAAACACATTGGGAGGGAGACGAGAAAAAGCGCATAAGAAGGAAAAAAAGTCTAAAAAAGAAAAAAAGGAAGAAAAAAAAAAAACCAAAACGACAGAGAGAGGAAAGGGAAGAAATTTATACCAATACAGCTAGAATATAAAAAAGACAACTGGGATTGAAAGACGGAAGACTGAAGGTAGAAAGAGCAAGGGAGAAAAAAGAAATATAAGTGTGTGAGGGCATAGACTTAATGGCAACTAACAAGAGGGAAGGAAAAGATACAGTCACACTGAGGAGGGTGGGGGAGGGGAGGGGACCAGCCAGATAAAGAAGATTGGAGGAGGGCGA